AAAAAAAAATACCATTCATGTGTTTAACAACTTATCAACTTTCTTTTTTTTGCGTAAACAGGCAGTTTAGAGGTCAGCATTCTATTTTTTATTATTCACGAATTATAACACAAAAAAAAGCATTAATAAAAGACAAAGAACAAAAACGTCATATGACGATGTTTTGTTTTCGTTTATATAATTATTATTGTTTATTGACATAAGAATATTTACTCCATTTTTTTCTAAATTGTTTTTATTATTCCGAGAAGATTTTATAAACAATACGGAATATTGATTGAAAAAATAATTTTATCTATAATTACTGCTCACAGTTAGAAACCAAATATTTATATAATAGTATCAATAATATTTCGAATCTTCCTATAATGGAAAAGGAAAGTAATTCTATATTTTACTTTTAGATGGCATCGAAACATATTCGTTTATTAAAAGATCTTGCTCGAATTGATGAAACATTTCAGTCGAATCGTCTTTTTTATATAAAGAAAAAAATTGATGCAACAACAAATGATGCTATTCATGATACAGATTTAACACATCCGATATTGATTTATAAACCAGAACAAAGTCCTTATGTTGGTGGAGAATTTGAATTTGAAATTAGTTTACCACTTGATTATCCATCAACAACACCACGTGTTAAATTTCGTACACCTATTTATAGTCCAATTGTGGATGAATCCGGTGCCTTATCATGTTTACCTATACTTCAACGATGGCAAACATATCCGATAAATTCCATTCAATTTCGTGATATACTTACGGAAATTGATTATTATATAACACATTTAGAAGATGTTGATGAACCTCATCGTCCAGCTTTACTCGATGAATGGAAAACTGATCCTGTTGCTTTTACAAAAGCAGCTGAACAACACACAAAAGAATTAGCAAAACCACAAAAACGATAAAAACGAAATTCCATTTTATTTTCAATTTTAGTCCATATTTATTGTTTTATTTAATTGTTGTCTTGTATGTATTGTATATTTCTAGATGAATGAACTTGACATGAATGAACAAAGAACACATGCCACTTCAACGTGGCGTGTTTTTGATGATATTACATATAAGTATGTGACAGTTTTTTTTTATTAAAAATTTTTTCAAATCTATGAGACAATATTGTTTTTCTCTTCGTCTATAGAAAAATTGAAGGAAATACAGTCACTGATTTTCTAGCAATAATTCGAGATGCTCGTAGTGCAACGGAAGATACGATAAAACCATTTGTTACTATGGCTCCATGTGGAGGACCAATTGGTAAATGATTAATTAACTTTGAAATATATCTGTTAAAATAAATTTATTTTAATTAGCATTTGTATATAAAAAATCAGAAGCAAAATCAAATGATACTAAATATACGATAATTATAGACAATTTACCAAACCATCGTCCTCAAGTTAAACAGGTTAGAAAATATTTTCTCTTATTTTTTTTTATTTCTGTAAAATAATACTTTAGTTTGATCGAGGTGTTGTAGTATTTGTCGATTGGACAATTAATGAAGATTTATTATTAGTAACAGAAGACGGAAAATATCATATCATTGATATCTTCTTTTATGATTCAAATAATGACAAATCAAGACAACTTAGTGAGGTAATTATTGTTATCGAATCAGTTCGAATTATACATACTAATCATAACTAGGAAAAAAGTTGACTAAATATGAATCGATCCTCGATGTACTATATTTGAACCAGTGGCGGATCTAGAATTTTGGAAGGAGGAGGCGATTTTTGTTTTTTTTTTTGAGTATGGAGGGGTGATACCTGGGGAGGGGGGCAATTTTGGCTAAAAGCTATTTTTTGGACCCAATCGAAGTAGTGTAAACCTATTTTTTCTTTCATTTTTGCTGTAAAAAATCAAAAAAAAAATTCGGAAGGGGGAAGATCACCTCCATCACTCCTCCCCCCTAAATCCATCAGTGATTTGAACCGATCTATCAATATATAATAGAAATGTCTGTTACACATAAAAAATATATATCTCTATCAATGAAATACTAGTAATTCGTGTTGTATGATAGTTCTCGAAGGTATCGACTATATGTAAATCTCAATTTGTAGATTAGATGATTCTTCATATTCACATAGAGCACCAAAGTTAAACATTGATGATATATACAAACACGCAAAACGGAAAGAAAAATCTGTATGTACAGATATAAAAGAGTTTACAAGCAGAATATTGCGGCTACAGGATTCTAGTAAGATGATATTGTTTTTGGAATAATCAAAGAATATGCTTATGACAGTTTTGTCCAATAAGTGGGTTCTATTGAATTCTTATGCCTGTAGCACTGTAAACCAAATACTAGGATGCATATATACGTCATAACTTAACAAAAGTATCGTGCGTATACACTTACGAATTTCTTAAGAAGAGAATTTGATTAAACAGAATTTACTAATTGAAGTGAATATTTATATCTCGAAAAAATACGTCTAATTAATATAGATATTTGTCTGATGTTAATGCGAAGTTAATACTAATGTCAAAATATTATGTTAATCCTTTAATCTGAACATAAAAGTTTTAATATTAAAAGATAATTACTTTACTTAAAAAATTTCGAAATAAATTCTTCTTAATTCTAGTCTGTATCAACAATAACCAGTGCATGTACATTTAAAAGCAATCAAGGTACAGGATTAGTAGCATTAACGAAAAATCAAGAAAGTTTTATCGCCGTAAAAAATGTTTATAGTCCAATTATTCAAATGATTACACTTGGTAGAAACAATAATTATTAAAAATAAATCTATCGTTCTTTTTTCTATTATCTATATAATATTAGGCGTAGATATTCGTTCACCAATATCAGCATGGTGTGTAATCGATCATGCTGATATAACAATTGCTTATGCATATGATAATAATATAGCAACATGCAGTGCTACGTCATTACGACGAGATCAAGTAGAGAAAAAAAAGTTATGTTAAAATTTAAAATTTCAATTATTTTTATTAGCAAACAATTCCTGGTATTACTGATGTCATAGTTAAATTAGTATCGAGTAGTAATTATAAAAGTATTGCAATGTTAAAAGATAATGGTGATGTATTGATTGGATTAAAAGAAAATATTGGACAACCACAATCATTTATATTAAAATATACATGTAATAATAATAAAGTCAAAATTACTGATATTGCTTGGTAGGATAATAAAATTTTATGGAAAGAAAAAGTAATAAAAATTCTTAAAGGTCTGGTTCAGATACTGTCATAGGTATTCGATCAGCTTCAAAAACTTGGTTTGATTTACTTGTTATCAATGGAAAACATTCATTACCAATGACGTTTGTATATCTTATTTTCATTCTTCATTTTACTTTTTTGTATTATTTTAGAGAAAAAAGTCGACAAGCAATAACTGATGATACGTTAGTATTAGATATTTATATATACGTTTGAAGATTGTTGGCGCATAGTAAACTTATGAGAGAAGGTCACCCGTAGACTTCAATGAGGTATGAAAAACCTCAAAAGAATTTATTCCCTCATGCTTTTATTTTCGAGACATGATTATTTAACTCATATCTCGTGAAGAAAGCATCCGTTTTGACTGAAACTTTAGGCGCATTCTAGGCATCATTAGATCCATTTACGGGTGAAATCCCGTACAATCGACCGAACATTCAGTAAAATAATCATATCTTATTGAAGTATATTGGTGACCAAAAGGTAGAGTCTAAACGGCTAGAACACTTGAGGGACATCCCTCGTTAGTAAATTGATTAATCCAACTCACCACAAGACTCTAGCTTTCATTGAAATGCTTGACTTATAATTTAGATCTATCACGAAATAATTTTATTAGTAGACTACTCTAACAACAGTATTTATCGAAGAGCTTGAATTAGTTTCATCTGTAGAACATTGGAGCCTTCGTTATAGTTTTCAAATGATTGTAATACTGATTATTACAATACTCTTAGTAAATAAAAATATTTTTCGAATATAATTTCTTTAATTATAGTATGTGTTATACTTCAACTGTATGGTTATCAACTGAGATTGATGGTATACGAATAATATCTGGTCGAGCACTTGATTTCTTTCAACGTTTACCAGATGAAATCTACAAAGTTTTAGATCTTATGTCAAAAAGTCCAGGTGCTAAACTTTACGAAGCTTATATGTATTATAAAGTAAATTTAATTTGTAATTATCTCTAATAGAAAAAATTATTTTAACAAAAATCTTCTTATTTTAGTATGAGAATCAAATGGCTGAAAGATTTCTTCAAGAATTAAAATCATCTGGATCAAGCTATGGACTTGAAGAAGCTGTTAAAGAATGTATAGCAGCAGCATCTAATGAACATGATCCACCTACTCAAAAACTTTTACTCAAAGTATAACAATTAATTTCTAAAAGATTATAAAATATATTTTTTTTATGAAATAGTCTGCACTCTTTGGTCGTTCATTTTTATCTGTTAATTTAAGTAATCCAACAGCATCAATACGTCCAGCTGTATCAGTAATTAATGATTTATGTACAAATACAATTCGTAATTTACAGCTAGTTAATAATTTACAACATATTAGTATTTCTATACTAATCACATATAAACAGTTAGATATATTTATGATGATATTTGTTTAAATGATTGAACTGTTGTTTTGTATAGATTTGAATTGCTTGGTACACGTATACTTATTGATCGTTTACTTCGTCGTAATCTACATGAATTTGCTACATGTGTAACAAAATTATTACGCATGCCTGCCGAAGAAGGTGAAAATCGTATTTTAGTACAATGGGCTGTACAAAAAGTTAGTTTAAAGAATTCTTCGATATTTATAAATAATTATATCTAGCTCAATGATCCTGCAAATACTAATGAAGAACTTATTGCAGATACAATTAGAGTTCGCCTTGCTGATGTACCTGGCATTCCATTTATTGATATTATTCGAGCTGCATATACTGCAAAAAAATTCATTGTTGTCGAACGAGTACGAGATCATATGTGAATATTTTTTCCTATTATTATATAATACTATAATTTTATTTAGTTACTCGATGTTAAAGTTAGTTTAAGTGATCAAATTGATATGTTATTAACGTTGAATAAAAAACAAGAAGCTTTACAAAAAGCACTTTCTTATGGTGATACTGATTTAGGTAATTAATTGTTCTTGCTTTAGTTTTATTTTATGTATTCATATTCTTTAGCTCTTTATGTCCTTATGCGTATGAAATCAAGTAGTGGTGTGAATTCTACTGATTTTAATTTACAATTAGCAAAATTGAAATCATTACCATTAAGTTTGTTATTACAAGTAAGAAATTATAATAAGCGAAGTTTTTTTTTTCTTATAAACGAATTTTTCGATTCATTTTTATTTGATCGATTTTTACTTTAAAATTATTTAAGTATCTCTCAATCAATGTAATTTTTACGTGAAAGGCGACTACAAATGTTTAATCCAGGAATGAAAGATTGATTTTTGGCTTGAATTCAAGCCAATTAGAGACCTGTATCGGAGTCAACTAAATCTCATGCCTATCATTCATTTTTTACATTAAATTTGTTTTGAGGTGAAGGTTTTGTTTTCTCTACAAACTGACGTATTTTGAGAGTTCAAACCAATGTTTTATTGAGGTTCATGGACACAAAAGAAAGTTAGATGCATGTCTCTAACTGGCTTGAATTCGAGCCAAAAATTGATTTATACGGTACTCAACAGAATTCGATAGAGAAAATTTTTCTCTACAAACCTACATATCTCTCATTCCTGGGCCAAAGTTTGTAGTCGCGTTTAAATCTTCTTTTTTTTTGTTTCATTGATATATTTAAATAATTGTCTTTTTAGTGTTTAGAAGAACGTGATCGAAATAATTTACATGATGAAATGCGAAAACAAAATTCTGGTGAACGAGAACGTAT